CTCAGCAGGATCCAGCGGCTGATGGCAGAAGGGGGCATGACAGCTGTGGTGCAGCGAGAGCAGAGCACCACCATGGCCTCCATGGGCGGCTTCGGCAACAGCATCATCGTCAGCCACCGCATCCACCGTGGCTCCCAGACAGGCGCTGAGCCCACCTCCGCCCGTGCCTCCTCGCCCCGGCCCTCCGCCTCTCGGGGACTGCTCCCGGAGCCTGGGCAGCTGGCAGAGCGGGGCCTGAGCCCCCGGACAGCCTGCTGGGACCAGCCTGGTGTCCCTGGGCGGGAGCTGCCCCAGCCCACCCTGCCCTCTTCCTCCTCTGTCCCCGCCCCCCTCCCCCTCCCCCTTCCCAGCACCGAAGGACCAGCCCTGCACTGCGACCTGACCAATAACAACCACCTTGCTGATGGCGGTGGTGGCAGCAGGGGGGAAGCTGCAGGCCCCAGCAGGGAGCCACGGAACAGGTAGAGACACACGTGTGTACTGGTGCTTCCCCTCGAACCGCTGAGCAGAAACCGGACCTCACAGCTGACTCAGAACTGTACACGCGGAAGAGCTGCGGGCTGCATCAGGGAACAGGAGCAAGAGGGTGGGGGGTCGAGAGGAAGTCAGAGTCAGTGGGCATGAGGCAGTTGAATGGGCAAGGCTTGCCTCAGGGGACTAGAACCTTCCAGGATCTGGAGCCCAGGGGAGCCATGCTGCTGTGCTACGTGTGAATGGAGGAGGAAGTGGCTATCCCTGCCATGAACCCCCCCTTTCTCTTAGAAACATGGCTTAAGAGACTCGCCCCTGGGCAGAGAGCCTTAGAAGGGTGAACCGTCTTCCAGATCTGGGCCAAACCATCCTGGACAGTGGCCAGTGGGGCACCTTTGCCCTGACTACCTGTTGCATGGGCAGAGCCACTAGGAACCCAAGAGCAGGAGGAGCAGCCTGGCCCCCAGGAACCACCTCCATCTCTGAGCCTTCCAGAGCTTCAGCCTCTCTGTATCATCTTATCCCCTAGAGACCACAGTCAGGGTCAGGCCAGGCTCCCAGATTCCTGAGGACAGGGACTTCCTGCACTTACTGATGGGGGACAACCATGGAGTGAAGGGAGGGGGGGCAGCCTGCTTGCCTGATAGAGGATAGAGTCAAGGGATGGTGGGCAGGTCCTCACTCAGGAGTGGGGGGTGTAGGCTGGCCGGCCCCCAGGGCTTGTCCACCAGGCTCCTCTCCCCCGGCCCCCAGGCCCTCAGAGCAGCACCTGTGGGTGGCAGTATTAGCTGAGCCTAGGCCAAAGCCAGCCCAAGGCTGGGGGAGGGGATGAGACTCCAGGTCAGAATGTGAGGTCTCGGTCTGTGATTTAAGGTGTTGCATGTGGAATCTTGAACTGTACGTGTAGTTTCTAGTGGAGAAATCAAGGCTCTGATTATTTTGTTTTTAGTATGAAAATGTGATTTCTTTTCTGTTTGTAACTCATCATAGAAACATTGTGGTGGGAGGAGAGGGGATAGTCTGACTGCTAATGAGGGAAACACCAAAGATCTACATCATTAAAGTGATGACATGGCCCTCACCAGGCTCTTCTCTGTTTGTTTCCATGGAGGATGGAGGAGGGGGTGGTGATTGGTAGGGGGCAGCGTCATTGAACCAAGCTGGGCCCAGGTTCTCTCAGGCACTGTTTCTGGGGCTGCTGTCCTACGTGGGGAGCCCCATCTGTCCCCTCAGAAGAAGCTGGCTTCGTACTACATCTCTGTACCGCCACCCCCTGCTTGCCCCAGGTCTGCTAACGATTAGGGCAGCCTTAACAGTGACAGGTGGGTATGTAGGAATGACAGAAAGTCACTGTTGATTGCTTCCTACCCAGGACTGTGGGTCTGGAATGAAGATGTAACTGGCCAAAAAGCCGGGTCCCCTCTAGTCTCCAGAAACCACCCATAATGGGTGTCTGGGCTGGCCAGGAAGGGAGCTTGGTCTTGTCTACAGGCATCCCTCAAAATGCCATTTGCTAGAAAGTAGGGGAAAGATATTTGCCCCACTCTTACAGAAGCGCACAGGAAAAACAGCCACCCCAGGGATTTTTGCCAGCAACAGCTATTTCTTGACTGTCTCTTGTGTGCCTCTGTCCCAGATGCTGTGGGGCATGTAGAATTACAGATTCTATCCCAACAGGGACAAAACCAAAAGATCAAATGGTTGAGCAGGTAATACAAAACAGTGTGAAAATGTGAAGAGTTATTACATAGTCACAAACACTGGAATTTTCTAGCAAATTGTAAGAGTGGACTCTGGACTAAAAGACACATCAGCTAGCTGTGTGACCTTGGGCAAGCCTTTTCTTTGCTTCGCTTTCCTCCCTTGTAGTAGGATACAGGGCTTGGATTATGTAACCTCTTAAAGTTACTTGCAGCTCTATAATTTCGAGTCATTCGAGGTCAGAGAGCACTGGAGCGGTTAGGACCAGGCTTCCTTGAAGAGGTGGGGATATGAGTTACTGAAGGATGGAAGAAGAGCACCCCACTGCAATCCCTGCACTCTACCCACATGTCCCCCCCCCCAACCCCACCCCCCAGGGAGAGGAAGAATTCCTTGTTTTGACAGTAGGGACTATGAATTTGTTTAGTGTAAACCATGCGCCAAGGATTCTTATTTTGATTCTCATCACAAAAGCCCTCTAAGTACTGGTGTTACCCCCAGACCACACATCTAACTGATGGAGCCAGGATTTAAACCCAGAGGGGAACCCTACTTTGTTATTTTGGAAAACAGGGTATGAAGAAGCCTTGTGGATGAGATGATCCAAACTTGGTCCTGTCTGCCTTGCATCTGCCCTGTCTGGCCAAGGATGAACCCAGCAGCTACCTCTCGGAGGCTCCTACAGCCTTTCCGTCTCCACATCAACCCCTTTCCTTGGAAAGCCCTTGCCTGGTGGATAGAATCCTCTACTAGTAGTAAAGCCTCTGGGCCCCTTCTCGTAACAAGTTGGGTCAGCAGGGCAGAGCTTGGCAATCCCATCTAGAGACAAGGAATTAGGTTCAGAGAAGTTCTATGGACCCAAGTTGTCTGTGGAGCCAATTGGCCCCAAGGGCCCAGGACAAAATTAGGTCCCTTGGCTCTCCACAGTCCTGTCGGTTCTGAATTGGAGGGGTCAACCCCACCCAATGGTAAGGATTTCAGGGAAATGGAAGCAGCTTTGCCTGATACAGTTTCTTTGGAACTCAAGGCAATGGTTGGAGACATCTCTGGTTTCTGTGGCTTTCTGTCCTTAGCCTGGCTTGTTTCCCTTGTTTAACTTTTTAAGTATCTGGCCTCCCCAACCCCTCCATTCCACACACACACAACACTACCACCTTCCTAGGAGTGCTACCCTGTCCTGGACCCTAGGAGAGATATGACAAAGTGGAACAAAGGCAGGACTGTCATCTGATTGTCCTAGGAACCAACTGAGCCTGTTTCCTCACCTGTGAAGTGGGAGCAAAAACAATAGCTTCTTTGGACATTGGTTATGAGGCTCATGGGAGACCAGATCATTCATGTAAAGGACGATGGCTTCTCACTCTTACCTAGACAGCCAACTCCCGCTGCCCTGGGGAGCACTGGTCTGGACCTTCACCTCCTCATTCAGCATGGAGAACACACCAAAAGCCCCGCAGCGCTGGGTCTTGCCCCAGTTCCTACCCCTTCTCTGGCAGCTCCTGCCGCCTCTCCTCCCACTGCCTTACCTGCCTCTGCAGTCCCCCTCACAGCACCCCCACCCTGTCCTGGAGCAAGGCGGGGCGGGACCTATGTTGTTTTTCCAGGACAAGGAATCAGCGGTCTGAAGGTTAACCGGGTGTTTGTGCTCAAAGAGTTTGGGGGTGACAGGCCTCAGGGCCTAGGCGTGGGGAGACGAAACCAACCCTGGCTGGCCCCAGGAAGGGCCATCTCCGATGGAGGCGGAAACGCGGGTGTCGCGGCGGTCGGGCGGAGCTCTCCGAGGTGCTGAAGCCACCGACTCAGTCCCGCGGGCGCCTCAGCCGCAGACTCCCAGGCCCTCCCGCTTCGCGCAGGCAAGGCCCCGAATCCTCAGGCTCCGGCCACTGAGGTTCGCGGAGACCTTAAGAGACCGGCAGCTCGCCCTCTGGGGTCTCGTTCCGGGCTCCGCCCCAGGTGACCTTGGGCAATCAGCTTTCCCTCACAGGCATCAGTGAACTCGCCCACCAGGCCGCGGCTGAATGGGTTCGCGTCCCATCCTAGGGCTGGAGGGAGGATGCGCACCCCTTCTCCGGCCTGGAGTTCGGGAGCGGGGAGCCAGGCGGTGGGGGTGGGGGGCCAAGCGGGCATTGTGCGCGATGGGCGGGCTTCTTTCTCCCTGGCGGACTGTTGCCTGTCCTCTCTCCAGCTCCTTCCCAGGCCCCGACGGCCCCTCTTCTCTGGCTGCCCGGCGGCCAACATGCGGCCCTGAGACTGGAAACTGCCGGCCCTCGGCTCTCCGCCCCGACGGAACCGTGACGGCTGAGCCGACCCCACCCACCCGTAACCTCTCGTTGGGGTCAAACACTCGCGCCTCCGAGGTCCCACTGTGAGCGGAGACCCGTAGGGAGTGAGGTCCGGGCTGGGCGCAAGACCACCTCCGGGGCCCGGGTGTTTGGTCAGAGCGGAGGCGGAGAGCGCAGCCAGACGGGGCTGCCAGCTCCCTCCCCACCCCGCGAGGGGGCGCCGCGTCCCCATGACAACGCGGACACCCCACCCTCCCCCCATCTCTGCCTCCCGGGAGGGCAGCGCCCCCCGCTAAGCCGTACTGTTGACCGTGGGCGGTGCCCCACCGTGCCCGAGCTGGGAGCTGCCGGCCGGTTCCAGTGAGGGGCGCGCGTAGCTGGGGTCCCCGACGCCCCGGGTGGTGCCCCCCGAGCGTCGCAGTTGGGTGGCCGGTCCGGGGCGGGCGGCGCGGCCCCACCACGATTGGCTGCTTCCCCGTGACATCACGCGGCTCGGGGAAAAGTGCGAGCGTGAGCGCGAGTCGAAGCCACAGCGCCGGGAGCTGCGGGCGGAGCAGGGGCCGCCCCTTGGCACCCCGTCCCCGCCCCCGGCCCGGCCGTGCGCCCCGCCCGCTGGCCCACGGGCCGCCCGCTGGTCCTGCCGTCTGTCAGGTGCGAGGGGACCGGGGCGGAGGTGTCTGGTAAGTGACTCCGCGGCGGAGCGGGGGCGGGGGGACACGGTTGCGAGAGAAGGACGCGGGGCTCTCGGACCCTCTGAGGCTCCCCGGAGGCGAGTCCCACTGGGACGGGTCCCCAGGCTCCTTTGGGGGCGAGAGCGGTGCTGGGAGCTGCACAGGGCCGGTGGGTGAGGGGCCCCGCTGGAAGAAAGACCCAGAGTCTCGGAAGCTTCTCCAGGTGCGCCTCTGGGAAGGAATGGACATTCAGGAGGTCGGGGGAGGGGGTGCCCGCCCACAGCCCTCAAGGCACCTGGAGCAGCCGTCGGGGGCGGGACCCCGCACTCCAGCCCTCCCACTGGCAGCTCTGGAGGGCGCCGGGCGCTGGAGCCCTAAGGGGCCTTTTTCCCGCCCGTCTCCCCGCCCCCCACCCCCGGAGCTGCCAGCCCACTCCGGTCCACGAAGTCCTCCATCCGCGACCTTGAACCCCGACGGAAACACCCCTACCCTCTCCCGGTGCCCCTCCCCCACTCCAGGACTACTCCCTGCGGTTGCCCAGGCTCCGAGCCCGGGAGAGCCAGAGCCAAGCCCCAGGCCCAGTGGCGGAAGTGTCAGCGCAATGTCGATTCCTAATTTCCTGAGCTCCTTCTCCCTCCTGTGAACTCTTGAGTCTCTTCTCCCGCCCCAAGGACGGATTCAGGGGCCACAGCCTTCCCAGATCCCTACAGTGAATGCCTAAGAACCAAGGACCCACACCCCAACCCCCTCCCCACGTCGTCCAGAGCACGCGCTCCGTTCTCGTCCGGAAAAGGGGGGGGGGTGCTCCAGAACCCGGGAAAGCATGGTGCCCACGCCCAGAGGCTGCAAGAACTGCGTGCTAGGGCTTTGGGGGGAGGGCGGGGCACCAGAGAGCCAGGGCCCCATCGACCAGGACGGAGACCTGGAGGAGCCTCTGGAGGAGCCTCTAGATGAGCCCAAATAATACCCTCCAGGTCTTCCCAGGCCCAGGGCTTGAGAAATCAGGTGCCCACTCAAGATGCTGGGGCCAGACGGTGCCTCTCTGGCGGGGTGCAAGGTTAGAAGCGTGGGAGCGTTAGAATATTACACTCAACTGACCCAAGCCCTGGCTGGGCCTCCGCGTTTTGGGGTGCTGCTGGTACACTCTCGCGGGCGGACTGGGCACCCTTTGGGCATAATGCTCCGCGGGCAGGCTGAGCTGAGCCTGGTGTCCTGTAAGGCTAGTGGGGCGACTCAAGCAGCGCCCCCTCGACAGAAGTCAGTCACAGGCTGGGACGCCACCCACACCGCAGCGTTGGGACCGGGGACACCACTGGGTGCCAGCTGAGGCGATGCCCCAAGGTCAGGGTACCCGTTGCAGCCCAGATTGTAGTCTAACCTTGCTGTCCTGGCCACGACCCTTCCCCACCCACGAGCGGAGCACGATCCAGACACTGGCTCTTGACTTGATCTTCTCTGTGCTGAGACAGCCCAAGTCTGAGCTGAGTCTCCTGGCAGGGGCTTTTGGACCGAGTCAGGTCACCTACTGTGGACCCTGCCTTTGCTCCTGTACACAAACTCACAGGGACAGGGCACACTCGAATCGTGTGCATCCCCCAGGCCACAGCACTCCGGGACCGCACACGCATGCACAAGCACGTGTCCACATGGCCCGGGCCCGCTCACGCGCACACGGGCACACTGGTATCCAGGCGTGGCCGAGCGCGCACACACGCACATGCAGCTACTAGCTTCTACTCGCGCTCCCCAGTAATCACACACAAACAGAACTCGCACTCGCCTTCCCGCCCACATGTTCCTCGGCGGGGCCGAGTGTAAGTCGGGCGCCCTTAACTTTTCCACCACTGAACCCGCGTGGAGTCGAGGGCAGCTCCCAGGCGGGCCTTGGCGGGGGAGGGGGTGAAGGGGTGGGGAGAACCGCGTCCTTCCCCTGGGAGGCCCTGCCCTGGAGCCTCCTCTGTGCTCGCGGTCGCGTTGGAGTTGGGGGCGGCGGGAAGAGCGGCCGCCCTCCCGGAGTCCGGAGCTGGTACCCAGGGCTCGACATTGCCATCTAGTGGTGTGCACAGCCCTGGGCAGCGTCTCCTTCCTCCCCACATCTCGGGCGGGCCTGGATCACAGAGTAAACGCCCCCAGAGAGAATTGCTGTCTGAATGCCTCCGGGAGACCCCCCAGAAAGATGGTGGTGTGGGGGGCGGGAGACACCATGCCTCACCTTTTCTGCCGCTGGCAGCTTTCCCAAGAGGACCCAGAGCGGAACTAAACCACCTGCCACCTCCTTGGAGACAAGATGTCCCCGAAGGAGACAAGAAAGAGGTCTCTCCTCTTCTGGGAAAGCTAAGTAGGGGGGCCGGCAAGGAGTGGGAGGGGATCCTTAGTTCTCTGGTTTTGAACAGTGGCGAGTAGAGGCAGGAAATCAACCTGAGGCGGGTTGAGGTTGAGAAGGTGGCTCCTGGGTTCTAATCCTGCCCCTGCCCCTGCCCCTACTTACACACTGGATGACTTTGGGCCAGCTAATTAACATTGTCCTCATCTGTAAAAAGATACTTACATCAGTGAGATGGGGATACTATTAGTACCTGCCTTATCAGGCTTCTGCAAGGATTAAACCAGATAATCTATATAAAAAACTCAGAGGGGTTCCTGACTCATAGTTAATAAACCAAGGCTATTATGTTTTTCATATTTGGCACCTCCAACCCTGTTCCCATCTCGCTGGCCTGCGTCCTGGCCTGGGGAGGTGAAAGCAAGGCTCTCCTTGGAGCTGGCGGACCGTTGCCCACCCTGCACCTGCCTGCATGGGCCTGGGGAGGGCAGCCTCTCCATGCTGGCGGCCCCAGCTCCGAGGGCGACACCCGGAATCTCTCCAAGCTGAAAGGAGCTGTCGGAGACCCCAGGGAGGGTGGTGTTCAGTCTTTGCCCTTGACTCGTTTGTGACCTTGGAGATGGCCACACCCCTCTTTGAGCCTTTCCTCCTGGGAACCAAGGGTTTGGACAGGTGAGCATGAAATGCCAGGCTAGGAGGCTGGGGCTGTGTCTGCAGTGGTGAACGAGGGGAGTCGAGGCCAGGCTTGGGCGGGGGGAGTCACCCTGACACCTGCCTTCAGCCTGTGGCACATTTTCATGCTGGAGATGGAAAGTCTAGTTGCTGATCCCCACAGCTGCTTGGGCGGGGTCCCAGGACTCAGTCCTCTCTATATAGCAAATGAGCAAGAGAAGGGCAGGAAGGTGAGGTGGCTTGTCTAAGGCCACACGGCTACACCCTACTGGCCTTGGAGCCTGGGCTGCAGCGGGACTGCTCCTTGCTCCACACACCCCGCCTCTCTCTCTCTCTCTCTCTCTCTCACACACACACGGACGCTGTGTATACGACAGTGCTCAGGGCTGGCGGGGCTGGGAGGGGGCCCCTGTGCGTGTGTGTAATGGTGTGCATGTTGGCGGGTGTGAAGGAGGCTGGGCTGAACGGCTGCCCTGGCACCGCGCGCCGGGCGTGGGCCCCTCTCACGTGTATGGGAGAGGAAGGCGGGGGAGAGATGAAGAGGAACCTGGGTGGGAGGGGGCGCAGGCCGTGTGCTGGGGCGGGGGGGGGGGTGCTCTGGCTGCGACAGACTCCCCTGCAGCACTGCCCCTCTTCCCCCTGAGACACTCTGGGTTCCCTTCGGGCTTCCTTTGGGTTCTCGGTCGGGGTGAAGGCTGGCCCTGGCCCCTTGGAAGCCATGTGTGCCTTTGCTTGGCTGGCGGGCCCTCTAGGCTTCTAGGCTTCTGATTCCTCACGGTCCTCAGCTCCCACCTACTCCCGCTGGCTGTGGACAGTCCCTGACTCCCCTGCACTGAGGCCCCCCCCCCCCCCCGCCGACACTGCACTGGGGCTGGGAGGGAGGGCTGGTGGGGGGATGTCTCAATGGCATGTACCTCCCGAGCCTCGCTACATGACACTCTCCTCCTCGTCCTTGAGGCTTCCCTCTCCGTGCCCCCTCTGGTCATCCCAGAAGCCCTCCCCGAGGTGGGATTACTGCCTCTTCTGGCTCTCTGGGCCTCCTTCTGCCAGAATCCTTAGCTCTGGGACAGCAACACGTCAAGGACTTTGTGGAACCTTGGTCAGGTTATTTAACATCTCCGTGCCTCAGTTTCCTCATCTGTAAGTAGTGAAAAATCTAGGATTCTACCTCACAGATTTGTCGTGAGGAAGAAATAAATTAATATTTATAAAAAGCACAGAAACTTAGTTAAGTATTAGCTGCTAATATGTATCCTTGCCTTTGTCCTCAGTACCTTCTGTAAGGATTGAGAACAGGTCCCCTGGTGACGTTTGGTTACAGAACGAGGAGGTAAACGAACGAACACTTCCGGCCGGAGCCACATGCTGACCTCTGGGACCACTCAAGCCCTCCCCATTGCTTCTGTGGGCCCTGCACACACTGGCCTTCTGTCTGTGCCCCACACGTGCCTCAGGACCTTTGCTCTGGCCATTGCCCCTGAGTAAGCCACCTCTGCAGCTCTTCACATGGCTGTCTCCTCGCCACTGTCCGGATATCACCTCCTTGGAGAGGCCTTCACTGATCACCCAACAAGGCAGCATCCCTATCTGTCCTCTGACTCCCTCACTCTACTGTTGCCCTGCCTTGTGTTCGAGCACTTTTTTTGTTGCTCACGTGTCTGTGTGTCTGCCCTGATCAGGCTGTAAGCTCCGTGAGAGTGGGGGCCGCGTGTGTCTCATTCACGTCCGTAACTCCTGCACCGAGAACAGTGCTTGCACAAAGTAGGCACTCAGTAAGAGATGAACGAAGGGATGGGTCAGAGTTCTCTAAGGTTCTGCGTGATGATGTCCCTCTGTCACCTTGAGTTACCTCTGCAATCCAGTTCTCCAGCTCATCCTTTTCTCTCTCTCTCCTTCCTTCTCCAGACACTGCCCGCCCACTACCGCTAACCAAAATGGCGAACTTCACACCAGTCAACGGCAGCTCGGGCAACCAGTCTGTACGCTTGGTCACATCGACCCATAACCGCTACGAGACGGTGGAGATGATATTCATCGCCACGGTGACAGGCTCGTTGAGCCTGGTGACTGTCGTGGGCAACATCCTGGTGATGCTGTCTATCAAGGTCAACAGGCAGCTGCAGACGGTCAACAACTACTTCCTCTTCAGCCTCGCGTGTGCCGATCTCATCATAGGCGCTTTCTCCATGAACCTCTACACCGTGTACATCATCAAGGGCTACTGGCCTCTGGGCGCCGTGGTCTGTGACTTGTGGCTGGCCCTAGACTACGTGGTGAGCAACGCCTCTGTCATGAACCTTCTCATTATCAGCTTTGACCGGTACTTCTGCGTCACCAAGCCCCTCACCTACCCGGCCCGGCGCACCACCAAGATGGCGGGCCTCATGATCGCCGCTGCCTGGGTCCTGTCCTTCGTGCTCTGGGCACCTGCCATCTTGTTCTGGCAGTTTGTGGTGGGCAAGCGGACCGTGCCAGACAACCAGTGCTTCATCCAGTTCCTGTCCAACCCAGCAGTGACCTTCGGCACAGCCATCGCTGCCTTCTACCTGCCCGTGGTCATCATGACGGTGCTCTACATTCACATCTCCCTGGCCAGTCGCAGCCGGGTTCACAAGCACCGGCCCGAGGGCCCTAAGGAGAAGAAGGCCAAGACTCTGGCCTTCCTCAAGAGCCCCCTGATGAAGCAGAGCATCAAGAAACCCCCACCGGGGGAAGCCGCTCAAGAGGAGCTGCGCAACGGCAAGCTGGAGGAGGCGCCCCCACCGGTTCTGCCACCGCCGCCGCGCCCGGTGGCCGACAAGGACACTTCCAATGAGTCCAGCTCCGGCAGTGCCACGCAGAACACCAAGGAACGACCACCCACAGAGCTGTCCACCACAGAGGCCACCGCGCCTGCCCTGCCCGCCCCTCCCCTACAGCCACGGGCCCTCAACCCGGCCTCCAAATGGTCCAAGATCCAGATTGTGACAAAGCAGACGGGCAACGAATGCGTGACAGCCATCGAGATCGTTCCCGCCACACCAGCTGGCATGCGTCCGGCGGCCAACGTGGCCCGCAAGTTCGCCAGCATTGCCCGCAACCAGGTGCGCAAGAAGCGGCAGATGGCGGCCCGGGAGCGCAAGGTGACACGGACCATCTTTGCCATCCTGCTGGCCTTCATTCTCACCTGGACGCCCTACAACGTCATGGTCCTGGTGAACACCTTCTGCCACAGCTGCATTCCCGACACGGTGTGGTCCATCGGCTACTGGCTCTGCTACGTCAACAGCACCATCAACCCTGCCTGCTATGCCCTCTGCAATGCCACCTTCAAAAAGACCTTCAGGCACCTGCTGCTGTGCCAGTATCGGAACATCGGCACTGCCAGGTAGGCAGGCAAGGGTGCCCCAGAAGGTGCTGGTGGTCACGTGTGTGTGCTGAGCCATGTGGTCTCTCCCGTGGCTGTCAGGGAGAGATTTGGAAGCATCTCTCCGTGTTCACGTTCGCTGAAGAGAACTGAGGTCCCCAAGACCCCGTGAGGCTCAGGAAGAATCTCTGGCAGGATTCAGAGAGACCAGATCTCTGCTCAGGCTGAGGAGGGTCAGCCCCAGAAGCGTCTGAACCAAGACTGCCTGGCCCACCTCTGTTGCCCTGCCTCAGGGAGCTGGGAGGCGCTGGCCTCCTGGGGCACCTGCCCCACTGTGACCAACCAGCATGGCTGAAATAATGACATCTGGAGGGAAGTAAAAGCCCAGAATCCCCCTTGGGAGGAGCAAAGGAGCCACTGCTCTGGAAAGGAGGCTTCGGAAGGGAGTGGAAGGCTCGGGTCCCCCATTGTGCCGTAGTTGGTGCTTTCTCCCTGCTGCACCCCGCATGTAGGCTCAGCCCCTCCTCCCGGGTCCCGTTCCAGGGGCAGAGCTCTCCCCTTGCTGCAGCTGTTCAGCCAGGCTCTGGGTGGGTGGGCTCTCAGGGCCCCCTGCCACATGCCCCTCGCAGCCCTGCACGTTCAGGATGGGGTAGCTGGGAGGTCAGGGGTGCACACTCAGGAACTGAGGTCTGGCTTCCTGAGGTCCCATGCTGAGCAGAGAGGCCCAACGGATTCTGAAGCGTTCTCCCAGCAGGCTTCTGCAGTGAGGGAGGCCCGGGTCACAGGCGAGAATGGCTGCGGACTTGACTGTCACAGGCTTCAGTGACAGCGAGGGCCGGGCCGTACCAAAAGGCCTTTGGTTGAGTGTGGCTGACGTGGGGAGTGTCAGTTCTAGGGAATCTTCCAGGTTCCCTCCCAGTCCTGGTGTGACCCCTGGAAAGACCAGACTGAAAGGCTCAGGTGACTTGATGGGGGTCCCCTTTCAGGAGTCAGTAGGGGCCCTGGGAGAAATTCTCATAACCGTTCTGCTTTTCCCATGAGCTCTGGGGGGCATTCACCGCCAAGCCCCCCGGCCCCTAAAAGCCACCAGTTCCCGCCCCAACAAATTACCACAGCAAACTCCCTGGGAAGGGGCTTTTATATATTAAAAGAAAAGCTTTTATTGGGGGGAAAAAAAAACACAACGGTTTATTTGTTTCTTAGTAATGGCATCTTTGTGGGGAAGGACAAAAGGGGGTACCGGGAATCACATCCCTCTGGGGCAGGAGGCTCAAGTGGTCCACAGTCCCTTGTTCCTCCCCATTTGGGACACTTGGGGGTGGAGAAGTGAAAGGAAAGAAGCAGGGTATGATTGATAAAGCTAATGAGTAGACAAAAGGCACTGGTAGGTTCGATCTTGGCCCCGTGGGAGGGAGGGCACAGGCCCCGGGCTCCTTGGCATCCAGACCTGGCTGCTAGTCCTTTCCCTTCCCTTTCTTGGCTGTAAAACAAGTGAGAAATAATGCGTTAGAGGAGTCCTGGGGACCAGGAGAGACCCCCCTGCACATACATCAGGGAGAAAATTCTGCCCCCTAGTGGCTCCGGATCAGCTGACCTGGTGGCCAGGGGGACAGTGCAGCCATATTGATGCTGGACCTGCCCCACACCAACTTATACTTTCACTGGGGTTCAGAAAACCTTCAGGCTCTTGGTCCCAGCCGCCCTCAGTCTCGGCCTCCTCACCTAAGAAGTGGGCTGATTCACCTCTGCCCTGATGGCCTCTCTAGGCTGCTGTGAATCAGGAAGGAGCTAAGGGATAGCACAAGTGTGGGCTGTGAAGTCCTTTCAATACTGGAAAGGACCCAAGCTGACCCAATGCTCCCTCTGGCTGGAGAGATGACAAAGGCAAGTCCTTCCAGGTCAGTCAACTTCCCTGAACCCTAAGCAAAATGCTCCAACACCACAGAGCGGGTTTGTGCTTCCATCTGGGCCAGAAGATTTAATAACCCATGAGTACCTTCCGCGGGCCCCCCTCGGTATGTGCCCCCTAAGCTATCTCTACAGACAGGGAAACCAAGTGCAGAGATGTCAAGAAGTCCTTCTCCAAAGTCCAAAACTTCAGGCTTAACCGTTCCCTTTCACAGGTGGTGCAGCCGCCCCCCCCCCGGCCCCCCGCTATGACCCCACAACCCTCTCCCACTTCCCTGACCTTTGGCCTTGGCTTTGGTCTTGGGGGTGCAAGGCTTGGTCACGCGGATGGTCTCCTGGCACTGGGCATTGTACCGCGCCTTCTTCAGGGTGCCTTGGCGGGCCTTCGTGCCTGTGCCCCCATCACACGCTCCCCAGCTCTCAAACTTGTACTTGCAGTCGGCTGGCGGGAGAGTGCCCAGGATCAGCGGGGCGGCCCAGTGGCTGGAGGCCACAGACCTGCCCAGGTTTCAGTGAGGCTGTGCCCCCCTTTTCCTGCCCTCCGCCTGCGCCCCGCCTCACCTCCAAACTCCTTCTTCCAGTTGCAGGGCACCCTGCACCGGACGCGCTGGGTCTGGGCCCCACAGGTACCCTCGCGGAAACCCACGCCGCAGTCCTTGCTGCTGGGGGTGCAGGGCCCCCAGGTCCACTCCGCGCACTCGTTCCCCGGGCCGCCCTTCTTCACTTTGTCTAAGACACACGGGGAACGGAGCTCAGGACCTCGCGGCACGAGAGACTCACTCGGGGGCCGTTTCCTGGGGTCCTGGCCTCGGAACCCCGGCGGCCAGGCCAGAGGTCGCCAGCCTCACTGGCCCGTCTCCAGCCCTCCTTCAATCCCCCACACCCCGTATCACCTTTCTTTTTGGCCACCGCGGTGGTGAGCGCCAGCAGGGTGAGGAGGGCGAGGAGGAGGAAGCCTCGGTGCTGCATCCTGGGGGTGGGGGTGGGGGGAGAGGTCGGGTCAGAGTCCCCCCGCCTGCCCCCTTCCCCACGTGGGGCCGCACGCGCGCACCTCCCACCCCCGTCCCCACAGTCCAGGCTTTCGGGCTGGGGCGGCGGCAGGATTCTGGGGCCGGCCCCTCGCCGCTAGCCGGGGCGCACAGCCGGAGGCGTCTCCCTGGGGAGGGCCTGGAGCCCAGGACGCAGCTCAGACCCCCACCCTGCCTCCGGCCCCCAGGGCGGCTGGGGCCCAGCGGGCGAGGGGCCGAGGCCGCCGCCGCACGCCCGCCGGGACCCCGCGCGCTCACTCGCTCGCTGCCCGCGGTGCTGCGCTCCCTCCCGCTCCGGGCCCGTCCCGCTCCGGCCGCCGCGGCCCCTTTTGTCTCCAGAACCGGTCTGAGCCGGTCACATGGGCCCCCGCCCCCTCCCCGCCCTCCCCCCCCCCCCGAGGAAGGACCCGCCCCGCCCCCTCCCCTCAAACCCGCGCCGCCCCCAGACCCCGGCGTCCCCGCCTCCGCTCCCGCCCCGCGCGTCCCGGGCGCTTCTACCCCGGCTTCCCGCCGCGGGTCCCCGCACCACCCCCCGCTCGCCCCGCCCGGGCCGTCCGCGCTCAGACGACGGGCTCTGCCGGTCCCCCGTCTTCTGAGCCCGGGGTCTCCCGGCCCCAAGCTTCTGCCCTGCCTCGGCACCCCTGGCCCCTGCCCGAGCCCCAGCTTCCCGCCCCCGCCCCCTCCCCGGGGCCGTCCTCTTTCCCCGCTGGACGTCTGCCTCTCCTCCCGGGGAGGGGAGACTGGGAGGATGCAGACTGGGAGGGAGCTGGTAACCCCGGGGTTGTGACGGGTTCCGGCGCTCGGCGAGGGGCCCGCGTTCCAGCCTATGTGCGGCTCAGTCCCCCGATGACTAACCCCGTCGAGGACCGGCCCTTTGCGCCCCCTTAGCTGCTGGGGAAGGAGCGCAAGCCCCCACCTAGGGTCGCTTCACCAAGTGAGCAGGGAGATGCTCCGCTCAGTGTTGGGGGAGCCTGGGGACACTGAGCCCCCGAGAAGGCGCTCGGACGCAGGGGACGCCGTGCCTTTCCAGGAGCGCAGGTTTTCGGGGGCGGGAGCTGGGGGAAGTTGTTGGAGGAGGAGCCCGCAGGCTGGATTTGGTAAGGCTAGGGAGCTGACGAGAGCCGTCTGAGAAGTTCCAGATGCAGCCACGGCGGCAGCTGCAAATGCCCACCCCTTCCGACCTTGGGGGATCACCTCACCCGATCCCCTAAACAGTAGATGCAACTGAGGCCTGGGGGAAGGAGCTTGCCCAAGGCCATAGGGCAAAGGGGCCAAAGAATACAGGCCTCACCCCCGCCCCACCTCTCTTTCACTTTCATTGTTATCGTCCCTGCGGGAAGCGGGAAGCGAGAGGAAATCAGCTCCTCCCCCCGGCCCCGCCGAGCTAGGCAGCCAGGCAGAGGTCAGGTCTCGGCCAGGTCCTGGCACGCCCCCCTCCCCAAAGGGGTCTGGGTCCAGGGTGTCCAGTCCCCCTCCACCAGACCCCACTGCTTCTGGAAGACCTTCCCAGCCAAAAAAAAAAAAAAAAAAAAAAAAAAAGAGCAGAAAGGAAAAAAATCCACTTTACTGAGTCACACCCAGCTGTAAACATGTCACCACGAGAGCCCCACTCCAACCCCCAGGCCACACAGTCGGGCGGCGATGAAATGACTGAGTACATAGGGAGGGTCACCAGGGGTAGGTGCCAAGCAGGGCAGCGGGCAGGCAAATGCAGCAGGCTCTGTTTCTGGAAGGAAGCCCTGGGAAGGGTGGAGTCGGGGCAGGAGAGAGGGCCCAAGCTGCCAGGAGGCCCAGGGTGGGGGCCCTAAAGGAGCAGGTGGCTTAGGAAGCCTCTTCCTGAAGGCTCCCTGATAGGGCCTCAAGCCCCTCTGCCCTCCCCCTCTACTCCTAAACCCCACGAGGGCACCTGCTGCGGTGAGGGCGAGGGCTGCCCTGAAGTGGTCCAGCCCCAGTCCCCCAAAGGCCTGCCCAGCCCAGTCCAGTTTCCTGTTCCCCCGTAGGCCCTGGGTCAGGCTGGGGCCTCAGGGGGACAGGGGAGATCCCCCAGCTCCTCAGAGTCCAACCCTCGTCCGGGGCGGGTGGCTCCTCAGGGAGCAGCACGGGGCTCCTTCCCTGGGGCATGGGTCCCCCCGTGGTAGTCCGACTGGAATGTGGCAGTGAGGTGGGAGATGAGGGGGCTCGTCCTCAGGCTGGCCCTGTCCCTCCTCGCTGCCCTGGTGTCAGCCTCACAGCTACACAGCCGTCTCTTGGTCCTCCCGCTGGATCATCTGGTAGTGCTGCCGGTTCTCTAGGTAGGCGGCGAGCTCGGTGTCCTGAGCCTTCTCGGCCCGCTGCCGGGGGGTGTCGCCCTGGATGAGGGGGTTGCCGCCATCAGTTCAGGGACCTGTTGACCCCCCGCCCCAGGCTTGGGAGAGGGCAGGGAACCTTCCCTCCGGGCTGCCAGTGGGGGAGGCAGAAGCCTCAAAGGCCAGGCAGTCATCCACCCCCCACCCTCCGCTGGCCCAGGTTTCTCAGGATCCGGACTATGCTGGCTGAAGAACAGCTTCGGTCCCGAGCGGCGGCCCTCCCCTGTGGCTCCCCACTTACAAGGGACCGAGTTTGGGAAAGGGTTGGTTTGTGCTGGTGTGGACTTCCTGCTAGTCTGCTCACCTGCTGGTCTGTCTTCATGAGAGAGGCCCCAGCCTCCACGATGTAGTGGCAGATGGTACGCTGGCCCAAGGCCGCTGCCTGGTGCAGACAGGTCTCCCCACTGTGGAAACAGGGGCTGGCTGTGGACCCCCATCCTGTTCTCAGAGCCCTCTCGTCTGTCTCCAGAGGGCTATTAGAGCACGAAGCTCAGAGCTGTGGGGCAAGGGCAGGACAGAGGTGGCCTGGAAGGGCTTATGGGCTCTGACCATGAACCGAGTGGGAAGGGCTAGATGAAGACAGGGCAGGTTCCAGAGCAACCAAGGTCTCCCGATGCCCAGATACTCACTTCTCCTCCACAGCATCAAGGATCTCTGGGGGCGCTGGAGAAGAGGGGAGGGGGAGGTCAGAGAGGCCTGGCGCCCTCCCCTCCTCCCGCTGCGGCCCCCAGCCCCAGGGCCCCCAGTGGCACAGCTCACCGTGGTCCAGCAGGTAGCGGACCACTTCCTTGCTGCCCGTGCTGACCGCATGGTGCAGGAGCGTGCGGCTCTGCTCGTCCCGGTGCATGAGGTCGCCCCCAGCTCGGTGCAGCTCCTGGAGCTGAGGGCAGGAGGCAGAGAGCAGGGCTGGGGCTCCTCAGGGCCACCCCCCTGCCAGCCACAGAAACGCCCCATCTCATACAGGCCGCAGGCCTGACACTACTGTGCTCACACATCATCTCTCTGGGGATCTTTCTGGAGCGTAGGGGAGAGACACTGGGCTTCTCACACCCCAGGGGCCCATGAACTCCCCAGGACCACTGATGACCAAGCCCTGGAGCCTGCGGTTCCTCTAAGACTTGTTCCTTTCTGAGCACCGGGGACAGGCAGGCTGCGCCAGGAAGCCCCTATGGACACCGGGAGCGGGACAGGGACGGGGACAAGGTGGAATGGGACAATCACCATGGAGATTCTGCAGCGGGCCAGTGGCTGGCTCCCAAACAGGCCAACCCTTGGCCCCACCCCGAGGCCCCGCCCCACATGGCACAGAGGGGAGAAGCCAGAGCCCCTCGCTAGTACCTTACAGAAGTTGTTCCTCTTGGCGGCCTCAATCAGCTCTTCACCTGCACAGAACACCTGCCTGTTACACTCTGGGGCCAGAGGCCCTGGCTCGTGTCGTGTCGGTGCACGAACGTGCTGTGGGGAGGGCGGGCCTGCCGGGGCACGTGTGCTGAGGGCTCGGCTGTGGTCCGTGTGACCGTGCGGACCTTGCCGGTTGTGGGAGGATATGTGTGGGCTCCACCCCACCTGGGGCTGGGGAGAAGGGAGAGCCCTCACCTTTGGGGGGTGCCACATCCCCTGGCAGTGACCTGCAAGCAGAGCGGGGTGAGATGTGAGCCGGCGACGGCACAGGCCCAGCTGGTCCCCCTCCCCGCCCCAAGGTGCTCCCTGCGTTCCTTCAACAGTTTGTTGCCTACATGGCAGGTGCTGTTCTGGGTGCTGGTGATACAGCCGTGAGCAAGACCGAGAGCTCGCTCGCACGGAGCTTACATTCCAGTCAGGGAGACGAACAAGTCAACAAATATATAAGGCGTTCTGAGAGTGGGAAGCGCTGAGGAACAGAGACAGCGCGGTGTGATCGCACAGCAACTTCAGCTGGGGTTCCTGGGAAGACTCCTCTGAGGAGGAAACTCCCAAGCTGCGGTCTGAGTGGAGGGGGCAGCTCCACGAGGAACGGGGGAAGTGTCTGAGGCAGGAAGGACAAGTGCAGAGGAAGGCAAACTTGAGGCCCGGACAACCTGGGAAGGGCACGGTGCTGGGCAGCGGGGATGGAGGGTGGGTGGGTGGAGGGGTGAGGTTGGAGTGCTTGGATGTTGGGGGATGGGGAACAGGACTCATAGAGAAGTGGGGGTGGGGGGGGAGGCGGGGAACCCAGCGCAGCAGGATGGTCAGTGACGCCACTTTCCTGGGGGCAAGGGACCGGTCAACTGGGTGTGGCCAGGTTCGGTTCTCTGCCAATGACTCAGCCTGTGGGGACCCGGCAGCTAGCTTGACACCGGACACGTGTCTGGTGTTGAAGGTGGGACTTCAGGAGCTTCTGGCTTGTGGGTGGGGTTTAGAGCCAGGGGGCTGGAGGAGCAGCAGGACTCACCGGAGTGTGGGTGAACAGGGGGAGGTGGGAAGAGGGGAAGTGGGGGTTGGGAGGTCAGGCCGGGCCGATGCCCCCAGCAGCTCAGGGTCCAGAATATAAATCTCATCCTGTGCGATCTCAGTCACATAGTTGAGGTGTTCCTGTGGGTGGGGAGGTCAGGGACCAAGGGTCAGGATCTTCCAGGGCCACCGATGGTGGGGGTGCAGGGGCAAGGCCAACGGACCTGGAGAAGCCTCTGCTAGGAGCATGAACGCGAGCAGGCGCAAGCCAGGTGAGGGGCCCTGCCAGTCTCTCTTCCCCTCGGCTTCCCAGCCCCTTCCCACTGTTGAGCCTTTACCCAGGTCGCCCAGCCTCTGGGCAGAAGTGCCTTAGCATCTGTGTCTCGCTGGGCAGCATCTGTGTTCCCAGGCCCTCGCACCCACCCAGCAAGACTTTTCTGGGAATGCCAGCTCCCTTCACTGTTGGGCTGCGTGCGTGCCAGTCTGGAGGGCAGGGCCATGCCCTATCTGCGGCCCGAGCAGGTGTGCGGGCGTGACACAGTATGAGGACTGAGGGCGGGGGAGCCCATCTGTGGAAGTGTGGGCCAACAAGAGAGGGCCCTCGGGTGGCTCGGAGCCAGCGATGGATGGAGGGCCGCGAGTGCTCACCTGGGCCCGGTCGATCCTGTAGAAGCGGCTGGCAGTGGTGGCTGTGGGGAAGGCAGAGAGCCGGCTGAGGGGACAGGAGGCCCTTGTCCAGGCCCAGATTTTCTGCTGCCCCACCAGGAGCCCTGAGGGAGGGGGCAGGACACAGCCCGGGACTGCCAGGAGCTGGTCCTTCAGGGCCACTCACCGTCCAGGAAGCACCACTTGGGGGACAGTTTCTGGCAGGTGGGGGACTTGGCTCCAGCACCTTCGTGCTCCTGCTGAGAGAAGCGGAGGCCGGGAGTTGGGAGAGAAAGGAAACTGCAGCAGCTGGGCACAAGCGGGACGGGCTCCTGACCCCCTCCCTCACCTGCTGGAGCCTCTCAATGTGCGCCCGGCAGAGCTCTAGGTCGCTGTCTCCTGGGACCACCACGGTGCCCAGTGGCACGGCTGGGGGACAGAGCAGGCCGTCAGCAGCTGGCCGTATCCCCCCCCCCCACCCCCGCCCAGGGCTCGGCAGCTCCTTGCCCCCAACTGTCACTCACAGGCCTCCTTGAGCTGCTCCTTATCGTAATGCAGGGCCTCGTAGTCATGCATGCTGACTCTGCTCACCTGGATCCGCAGCTGCTCAGGCACAGGCTGCTGGCTGAGGCACGGGGCGGAAGGTGGGAAGAGGGCACACGGCAAGGATCCTCAGCCAGCCACTGAGGGGCAGACTGAGGGGCCCTGCCCAGCTTCCCTGGGGCAGAGGGACTGGAGGCCCCCTTTCCGGCTGGGGAAACCAAGGCTCAAGAGAGGGGCAGAGTCTGGCCTTGGGTCCAGGGCAGGTGGCCAGGAGGGGGACGTACTCGCTATGCAAGGGGGCGGCACTCCGCCGCTTGGCCTTCTGCACCATGGTGGCCTGGTTGCGCAGGGCGATGCGAATACGAGAGGCCGCGAGTTTGCAGGGCTCGCCATCCACCTGCACCGGGATGGCCTTAGACGTGGTGAGCACCACCTCGCGGCACTGTGTCAGCCGCTCACCGTGCCCGCCCACCTGCAGCGCTGCCTGTGGGCGCAAAAGGCTCAGGTCAGGCGCCAGGGCAGGGGCAGTGGGGCCCCCAGCTCTGTTCCCCCCAGGGATGCTCTGGCCAGGGAGCACAATGACAGTGACCCTCCAGACAGAGAGCAGAGAGGGAGGACAATACCCCAGTCAGAGAGCTGAGGGAAGAGCGAGACCCTGCTGGGGGAAGGGAGGGAGGGAAGGGGAGACCCCAGCCAGGGAGATGAGCATGAATTCTCCTATCTCGGCCAGTGAAAGGAAGTTTGGTAAACGCCCCCCTTCCATCTTGGAACAGTATTGTTGGTCACTGTGGGGACAGAGCCAGGGGCAAAGCAGAGCCGGGGCTCCAGGCAGGTCCCTTGCTGGCCCACTCACCAGGGACGTCATGGTAAAGCCAATGACTTCGAGGTAGCCATCATCATGCCGCTGGGGCTCAAAGTCGTGGTGCTCCCCAGGGTGGCCCCAGGGCATGGTGCCTGCGCAGTACCTGGAGGGGAAGGCAACACAAGGGCCTTCAGAGGACAGTCCTGCAGGATGGAGACAGCTGGGCCCACACAGAGCCCTCCCCTCCTCACCTGGGAATATTCAGGAAAACAATGCACTGGGGCTTCAGGTCCTGGATCTTGGGGGTCAGGTCGGTTCCATCACACTGGAGGCAGGAACAGGGGAGGGTGTAAGCTATACAGCCGTGCCAAGGCAGCCTCCCTCTCTGCTGGGCCCACCCACTCTGCCTGCCAGCTTGGTCCATTTACCACCACTCGGATGTGCTTGGCCAAGTCCTTAGAGCTGCCCATCAGGAAGTCGGAGAAGGCTGTCTGTGGGAGACAGAGGGCATCACCATCTGGTAACAGAGACTTTCCCTTACCACTGCCCAGAAGGGGTCCTGTGGCCTAGCAGACACAGGTGGGCAGGGGGCTTAGGTGGTAGAATAGTGGGCATGGTGGGGGCTATTGCTGGCAGACCCCAGACTCACCCCGGCGTAGAACATCTTATTTCGAAAGCGGCTGTTGAATTTCTCTGGGTTGGCCTCTGGGTGGCGATAAGAAACAGGGGACAGTCAGTCATTCTGAACCTGCTGGGGCTTCCCAAGCTGGGGCGAGGAGGAAGGGCTGGGAACAAGTGCCTTTCTTTTACTGCTGGGGGCAAGTTCTGACCCTCTCAGGGACCCTCCTGTGTCTCTTCCTCCCCAGCCTCCCAATGCCTCCTCAGCAAGAGGTTGCCAACCTCGAGACTCGTGAAACTCCAGGGTGACGTGGGCATCGAAGCCCAGGCTGAAGTAGTTGTTGAAGACATCCAGGGGCAGCTGGAAAAAGGTCACGGGCCCAGCATGAGGGCTGGGCCTAACAGACCCCTCCCTGCTCTGGCCTGGCCCAGGCCAGGGGCCACCAGGCTCGCTAAGCCCATGCATTTTTGGAAGCCTTTCCCCCAGTTAAGAGGATCTACCACAAAGTTCTTCCTCCAGCCAGTTCCCCGCCTGAGGCTCTGCCCTCTCGGCTTCCGGCTCCGGTGAGGCTCCTCCAAGTGCCCCACACACAAAACAGCCCCAGCTCTGCTGACACTCTCTTCCCTGGCTTTCTGTCCCCCATGATGCTTCTTCCCCAAAGTGCCATATTCTCTAGGAGCTCTGTGAGAACAGGGACTTTGCTTTGTTGCCGCTTAAAATGGTGCCTGGCATGTGGCAGATATTCAGTAAACATTTGCCAAGTGGCTGAATAACAACTAGCTTGCGGAGTACCATTATTACCATTGTACGGAAGAAGCTGAAAGTCTGGAGAAACGAAGAGATTTGCCCAAAGTCCCTGAACTGGCAAGTGAGAAAGAGGAGGCCAGCCCGGGGCTCCCGAGACTGCCCCCCGCCCCCACTGTAGCGGCTGCCCCTGGCCCTGGCCGCCCTACCCGGTCAGTGGCGCCCTCGTCACGCTCCTCGGGCCCCGCGTCGGGGTTGGGCTCAGCACGGAGGTCCCAGCGGTCTAGCTGCACTACATTCCCCTCCTCCACGTGGGAGAGGATCTTGGACACGGGCTCATCCGTGTAGCCCTGGTGGGACAAAGGGCTCAGGAACTGAGCCTCTCCTGGGGAGAGGCGTGCAGGGTCGCACGGCCCACCCCCAGCTCTCCTGCCCTGCCGTGGGCTCTTACCCCTCCCCAGTTGAGGGTACGGGCCAAGTCATTGCCAGTGCCCAGGGGCAGAATGGCAACGGGCGGCGGTGGTTTTAAGCGCAGCTGGTCCAGGGTGGAGAGGATCCAGCCGACCTGGAGGGGGCAGAGCACAAGAGGCCAGGTCAGACCAGCGGGGCCCAGGCTCAGGCCCCAGAGAGGCGGGAGACTCGAGAAGCGAGCAGCGGGAGAACTCACCGTGCCGTCGCCTCCGCACGCCAGGATCCGCAGGTTGTGTACTTTGCGGTACATCTCCAGCCTGGGGTCGGAGGACCGGAAGTGTCAGGGTACGTGCACCTTAACCTGAGTGCCAGGCAAGCCCCCTGCCACTGTCCCCACGGAGCCTTGGCAAGTACTTACGCCTCCTTGGGCCCTCCCTGGCTCAGGTCAAAGACTTGTCGGGGATTGAGATACCACAGGAAGGACTGGATGATCTTAGCGCCCTGCGGGGGACCGGGGGAGTCAGTCAGGGCTGGTGGGCTGAAGTGGGGAAAAGCACATGAGAAGGCTGTGGCTGTGGGAAGCAGGCCCAGCGAGGGGCAAGGGGTGGAGACAGAATCAGATCTCCTCAGTATCTCTGGGAAAGAGGGATGGGGCAGGAGCCTGCCATGGAACTGGGAGCAGTTGCTGGGGAGGGGAGGGGTGCAGAGCCGGAACCCGTTCCTCCCCCAAGGCTCCCGGTGGAGAGGGGAGGCTGTGCGTACCTGGTTGCCCCCACTCTTGGGGTTCACAAACACCAGCAGGGGCTTCATGAGGGGGGACGGGGTGGGCCTGATGATGAAGGGTCTCCAGCGGCCCTCCTTGGAGACAGAGAGACAATAAGGCTCCTTCCTGTCTTGAAGACCTTACCCCCATTTTCGGCAGTGCGGCCTCATACTACCTCCAGGTCAGACCTTAAGTGGGCCTGGCCATACAGAGGCAACTCGGATCTGGCCTCACACCCTCCTCTGGGGCCCAGAGCCCAAACTGACCCACCAAAGGCTGCATCAGCCCAGGGGCCTCAGTATTCCAAGAAACAGGCCCCTCTTTCCTGTTCCCCAGTGGCCCACCCAGCCCCAGGACTAACCTCTGGCCCTTTCTTGCTAGATTTCCTCTTAAAGGATGCTCTCTTTTTCTTCTTGCTTGCCTTGAGGGTATTCTGCGAGGGAAGCAGGGGCATTGGTGACAAGGTGGGAGGGCTGGGGTAGTCAGCAGAGCCCAAACGTGGGAGTGGTGTCAAGGGTGCAGGCAAGACTCACCTGGGGCCTTCGAGCACGAAGGATCCAGGTGGGTGGGATGACCACGGCAGCGTGGACCCCCAGGGAGCACGGCTCCTCGATCTGCTGCAGCATGAAGCAGGACACCTTGCTGTGGTACTAGAGAGGAGGGGGCACAGCTGAGCCGGGCTGAGCTGAGGCCTGGGGACCCCCACCCAGTGCAGCCCAGGGGACGGCCTACGGCGGGGCAGGGCGAGCACTCACTGCTTGCTTGCACCAGGAGCAACTGATGGCCACGATCTCCTTGCTGTGGAAGGTGAACTTCTGCTGGAAGCCCTAGGGGGAAGAGGGTGGTTGGGGCACCAGGGACCAGGTCCAGAGCAGCAGGCCCAACTCCTCTTCTGTTGTCAACCTCTCTCCACCCAGGGAAATTGAGCACATTTTTAAAAATTAAACAAAAAACAATGGGCCGCCTGGGTGGCTCAGTCGGTTAAGTGTCCGACTTCGGCTCAGGTCATGATCTCGCGGTTCGTGGGTTCAAGCCCCGCGTCGGGCTCTGTGCTGATAGCTAGCTCAGAGCCTGGAGCCTGTCTTCAGATTCTGTGTCTCCCTCTCTCTCTCTGTCCCTCCCGTGCTTGCTTTCTCTCTCTCTCTCAAAAATAAATAAAACATAAAAATAAATAAAATAAAAAACAGAACAAAACGACAAAAAAAAAAAAAAAACAAAAAAACAAAAAACAAAAACCCTGTAAAATAAGCCCCTGGAGCAGGGAGGCTTAGGACTCTCTGAAGTTAACTGCAAGGCGTTGGGTGCACACATGTGATCTGCTCAAAGCATCCACAGCTAACTCCTGTAGGCGGAGATGCCCTCCTTCCTGACCCCAGACCCCCAGGCCCCTGGGCACTTACAGCGCTTCACGCTTCTTCACAGTACCTATCACATTCATACCCTTGTTCGCCCTACGAACGTTACTGAGGGCCTGCTGGGTGCCAGACACTCTGCGTGGCACTGAAAGTGGGCAAAGGAAAAGAGGGACAAGGCCCCTCGACCTTCCATGGCCTATGCTTACTGACAGAGACGCACAGGAAGCAGACAATGACTAAGTGACCACCACACTGTGGACTGTGCTCAGGAGGACTGCCTGCAGAGTCTGTCTTCAAGCCACACCCTCCTCCTCCAGGAGGGCAGGGACCCACTACCCACTACCCAGTGGGGCTCAGCACCCAACAGGCGTTCAACAAGTATCTGCCGAGTTACTAAATGAGTAAGTCTAATTCTTAGAGGGCTCACGTGTAATTTCTAAGCAGTCCAGATACCCTGCACTAGAAGATAACTTTCTTTCCTGCTCTCCTGCTCTGTCCAGAAGCCTAGGTGTTTTGGAACTGAATGGGCACCTCAGCCAGGTTGAAACAGAGCCCTAGGACTCTGCACTCAGGAGAAACAGTCGGTGATGGGCAGGTCACACTGGATGCACAGCCTGAGGCTCGGGGGCCACAGGGCCCAGGTCCGGTGGTCATCAGGCTGGCCAACTTCCCTGGGCAGGGCCTCACCTTCCCACAGTGCCGACACTTGCCATCCTGGCGTCGCCTGTGTACCCAGTGGTGGCGCACAAATGTTGGCTGGTGGAGGAAGAGAGAGTATCACCGGAGTGAGGGGTGGGGCTGCAGGAAGCTCTCTGCAGGAGTGTGTGTGAGGTGAGAGGGGCTGGAGACTTCTCAACATGGCCTCAAGGTGGGGAGTGAGGCTCGGGGTAGGGGAGAAGAGTGAGGAGGCACAAGAGGCAGGCAGTGTCCCATCCACTCTGCAAGCAGGGCCTGCCAGGCCTTCCCCACTGAGACGCTCTCAGAGCCTCAGCCCTGCACCTCCCTGGGCCCCAGAGCAGCCTCAAAGTTGCTGAGTCCCCTGGTGGCACTCTGGAGACACTGTGGAGAAGTCCACTCAGGAAACTTGGGGCCTCCTTACCTGTAACTACCCTGGGCACTTACCTCACGGATGTTCCTGGAGCCTGATTCACGGAAGGACGGCTTACAGCGGAAATTTATCTGTGAAACATTGCAATGACCGCCCAAATGTCAGACCCTCCTTTCACGGAGTCAGACATATAGCCACCTCCTCCAGGGAAGTGTCACTCACAAGGTAGAGCTAGCCCCAAATCATCCTGGGAGCCCTCAGAATGTGAGACACCTCTTTTCAGAAGCCCTCCTGCATCCCTGCCTCCTCTCCACCATAGCCAGAAGGACTTTTTCCTTCCTCTGTTAGCATCCTGGGATGGGGGAGACTTGGAGTTTTGTGTCCACTCCCCCACCATTAAAAGGCAGTATGGTTTACTCCTCCCACATTTTCCCCTTACCCTCGAATGCTCCCAACCTAGGCATGTGCAGGCACCCTGATAGGTGCTTGCAGACTTGTGCTGGCTGGTCCCTGGAGACCATTAGCTCACTTATGAAAACTGGTGTGATCCCATCTTAGCCTCTGTAACACCTGGGGCTACGTTTGTCTCTCTTTTCCCAACTGTCCCTGCTTCAGCCTTAGCAAAGTTGCAGGGAAACCTCACTCTATGAGTCAGGGGCTCGGGCAAGTGACCCACATTAGCCTTGCTAGTCCTAGAAGCTTTCCCATGTGCTGATCGGGGTTTCTGCTGCCTGGGGAGCCCCCCACCCTTGGCCTGGATCTGCCTGCTCAGTGTCCCCTCTACCTTGCTTTAGAAGCACGGGCCCAGAGCCAAGCTTCAGGGCTACACGGGAGTGGCCTAGCTTCGGCAAGACCATGGCCCCTTCTAAATGTTAATTTAGGTGCTAATAAAATGGGGTCTCGGCCATCGCTCATTATTCATCCATAGTGAGCCCCACTCTGTGCCAGGCTTGTTCTGGGCAGTGGGGATAGGGTAGCTAATAAAGGAGTGGAGGGAGACAGGACTCAAATGCAGGTATTTCAGCTCTAGGGTCTTTGGCTCTTCACCACCACGCAGGCCGGGGCACTCTTGGCAGGCAACGCTTGTAACATGAGTATCAGTGCAGAAATACACATGTGTGTTTGCTGAGGGACTTCAGCACCCAAAGGGGAGGGGCAGGAAAGGCTGAGCACTCACACTTACCTTCTCCAGTTGCTCAATGCAGGGGGTGTGCACCACGATCTTGCAGGCTGCACACTTTCTCCGGGACACTGATTTCTGCTGCAGAAAATGAAGAGGAGGCCCTGAAGCACCAGGTAACTCCGCCCAGAATGTTCCCCAGGGCCAGAAGAGAAATCCTTCCATCTTCCCTCTCTGTTCACTGGGAACCCCCGATCCTGGCACCAGAATACAGCCCCCATTCCTCCTGCCATCCTCAGACAGCCCACAGCGGGCGCTCAGGTGACAGTCCTGTTCCCACCTTCCCAAGAAGGCCAGCAGAGGTCTGTCTACAGGCTTCTAGACCCACTCTACCAGCAGGGGGCAGCATGCCGCAGAGAGCTCACTCACCAGCATCTTCGCTACACAGTACTGCTCCCCAACATAGCAGAAGTCCCCTGACACGTTGGTCTCGAACCAGATGTGCTCCCCATAGGTCGCGGACTCCTAGACCGCGAGACAAGCGTGCTCAGCGCGAACCTGCTACCCAGCCCACCAGTCAGTCCCTGTCCTGCCCCACCAACCCTCCTCTCTCCCAAGACAAATCTGCTCCAGCCACCACAATCTGCTTTGCTCTATCCTGTTTCCCCAATGTCCCTACTCTTTTAAGATTAAAAAAAAAAAAAAAAAAAAATGTTTTTAAGTAAACTTTAAACCCAGCGTGGGGCTTGAACTTACAACTCCAAGATCAAGAGTTGCAAGTTCCTCCAACTGAACCAGCTAGGTGCCCCTCCCACTGTCCCTACTCTTGAGGGCTTGGCTCAAATGTGGATACCCTAGGAGGTCTGCCCTGACCCAAAGGCCCATGGGCTCCTCTCACAGCTGCCCCCAGCACCTCCTTCCATCTCTAACTGCTGCTGTGGCTCCAAGCCCATCCACCTGTCCCTCCCTCCTAGCACCCCGCCACTCACGCTCCAGTCCACAGTGCTCCGGATCTGCCGCTCTGGCTCGCTGCACAGGGCCCCGGGAGCGGGAGGAGGGGGTGCCAGGTGCTGGAGGCCCGACTTGGTGATGGCTTTCCTACAGGAAAGGAGATCGCTGAGGCCAGCTGAGCATCTGGTGACTCTGCTTCCTTCTCCCCTTACCTGGGATCTCTGCCCTCACTGTGACTTTAACCCTTGGCCAGGACAGGGACCGCAATGAGGAGGGTAGATGCCCCAGGACAACCTAAGACTCTGAGAGGTTCCCTGCAGGAGACTCAGCCCTCCTCACAGCCCTTGGGGAGCGCGCTGGCTTCCAGGCACTATCCAGAGCCATTCCCAAGTGGGGTGCCCTCAGGCCAGGCACAGTCCTCAAGGTCCTTCCTCCAGGCCAGTCCCCTTGGGGGCCACACACTCGCCCTGCCGGCCGCAGCTATACCTACGCAAGCAGGGCACTCCAGGTCTGGGGTCCCGCTGACTTGCGCCGTAGGGCTACCTGACGCCTGCGGGACAGCGGGCGCACACGAGCAGGCATCACAGGGCCAGCTGTGGTGCCTGAGGCTCTTCGACCCCCAGAGCCAGGGTGTTGGCCTGGGGGCCACTGCTGGCTGAGGCGCCGGTAGTAACCGTGCAGGCCCCAGAGGGCACGGTCGTACACCGCGTCAGCGGGGAGCAGGTGGGAGGAGGCACGGCGACGGCGCAGGTAGCGAGGCACAGGCAGCAGGGTGCCCCGGTGTGAGGATGGGCCTGGTCTCCTGGTGCCTGGCTGGGTGGCACTCAACGGTGCAGCTGTCACGTCTTCCTCCTGAGCTGTCTCCTCCTCCTCATTCGTGCCCATAAGCCCAGCCAACAGCAGGCGCGTGCCCAGAAGCTGCGCCCCAACAGCAGCAGGCTGTGGGGTGGGCACCTCATCCACGAGGAAGCGGGGGTTGCAGGCAGGGGGCACGGTGCTGGAGCGCCGGCGGCTGGTGCCCCGGGTCCCCACCCCACAGCCCAGGAGGCAGCCGTGGAGCTGCGCGCTGGAGCGGCGCCGCTGGAGCAGCGAGGAGGAGGCCTGCCCGGCAGGGGAGCGGCGTCGGACCTTGCCTGTGGGCAGCCCCACGCCGCTGGGCCGCCGCTGCCCCTCCCCAGTGCCTGGCGCCTTCCTCTGGAAGTGTCTCCTAAAGAAGGTCTCCATGGCAGGGGCAGGTGGATGGCTGTTGGGCAGAGATCGGGAGCATCAGGAGCTCGGTCAGGCCACGGCCCATCCTGTGCCTGGGAGCCCAGTCACAGCCTCAGCCCTCTGAGCAGAGAAGGGACACAGGGAGGAAGCGGGAGGATCCGTGGCCTCTGACCCCCATAAACAGGGTGTTTGAAGGTAGCACAGAATCCTCAAGGGAGCCCACGTTTACCACTGTTGGAAGCACTGGCGCTCTCCCCAGTTATACCCTATGCTGCTCCCACAGTAGTGGGTACAAGGGGCTTCCAGCTACCCATGTGGCTCCCCTGTCCAGGCACCATAATCCACAAAGCCCTGGCCTCTGCCTCCCTCGCCTGAGGCTGATGGAAAAGAAAAAATGGGAGCTGGAAGTCTGCAGTCCTGGGTTCCAGTTTGCAGTCAGCCTCTATGGACTGAGGAACAAAGGATAAGCCTCGTCTTTTCCTCTCACTGGGCCTTTGTTTGGCTACCAACTCAGGGCAGGTTTTAGCTTTCGGTGTCCCCTCCTAGGACACAGCACAAACTAAGCTATGGTAATAAAATGAGGCGCTCTGAAAAGAAACCCATGGGGCATCTGGGTGGCTCAGTTGGTTGGGCACCCAACTCTTGATTTCAGCTCAGGTCGTGATCTCATAGTTCACGGGATGGAGCCCCACATCGCAGTACTGCCCGTGAGGAGCCTACTTGGGATTTTCTCTCTTTCCCTTTCTCTCCGCCCCTCCCCCATTCGCGCTCACCCTTGCACTCTCTCTAAATAAACAAACATTAACAAAAAAAAAAAAAAAAAGGAAAGGAAAGGAAAGGAAAGAAACCCAGTCCAGATAAGGCCCCCAGAATCTCAGCCCCAAGTCATGGGGTCAGGCTCAGAGTGGCATTACAAATGGAGAGGATCTGATTTAGGGATCATAAGGGCCCTGGGGAACAAGGCCCTCAGAGCTGGAAGGGGGCTGCACAGGGGGAAAGCCACTCCAGTCCTCACCCAGGGGGACTTTGTATGGGGAGCAAAGAGAGGCCCGAGACAAGAGAAAAGCCTTCTGGGTGGGTTCTGGGTGTGCATCTCTGTCTCTGGGGGGCTAAAAGAACTTCATTGGTACTAGACTGCTCCGTGTTACCCTTCTGGAAAGGCCTAGTATGGACCTCCCAATGTGGGAAAGTACCGGGTGACAGGTGCTGTCTGAAAACCCTTCTAGCCCTGCTCTCAAGGGAGGCTGTGAACTGCACCTTGACCTAGGAGCCAATACTAGAAGCTCCAACTCTTGGCCCCAGAGCTCCCTCCTGCAGGAGGCAGAACCCATGGGGCCCATCCTCACTCAAACCACCCTTCCTTGACCTGTTCTGAACATGTGCCCAGCTTCCCTCACCAGCTCACCTACTCCTGGCTGCCCCTTCTTCACCGGCTACTGGCATTTCCACATCCTCAGCTCTTCCTGACAATGGGGAGAGGGCAGGAAGCCTGGTAAGCTGGGGCATGGGGGATGCCTCCAGAATGCCCAGGGATGCCTGTGCCTCGCCATCAGGTGACCTCCTGGGCCCTGGTAGCCACAGAGAGGTCTGAGTCACAGCCATGGGACATCTGCCTGCTGAGGGCCCAGCAGAAGTCACACATGGTGGGTGAGAGCCTTGGACAAATGATAGTAGATGATAGGTGGAGGACCGGGCTGCATGTCTACTGCCCATTCCTCCCACCACCCACACACCCACTCTTTAATTTGCTACCATCCTGTGAGTCCAGCGAGCAACGCCAGCCTGAAGCCCTGGATGGGGGCAGATATCAGGGGAGAGGCAGATGGGGCCAAGATGTCCGAGCTCCTATGATCAGCGAGCAGCTGAGGCAGCGTGCCTGGTGAAGCAATGTTTGAGACTGCCTGGCTCTTGGTCTCTGCCTGCTCCAGCCCCCAGCCTCTGCAGGTGACAGGGAGAAGGGCAGGAGTTAAGCTCTGAGGGCAGGAGAACGGGAGTGGACAGAGAGCTCTTGGCTTCCTACTAAAATCAGCATCAACACAGCTAACATTTACTGAGTGCCCACCGTGCGCTAGGCACTCTGCTAAGCCCTTTACAAACACACGTATCATTTTATAAACCACAGCAACATGAAAGGACAGGTACGGCATCATGCCGTGTTCCTGATGGGAAACTGAGGCACAAGGCGGTAACCTGCCCAAAGTCTACAGCCAGTCAATGGGGGGCCAGTGATGGAACCCAAGTCTACCTGAAGACAAAGCCCGTATCCCAGAGCCGTAGTGGAGAGCAGCGTCTTTCCTTTTGGGCCACGAGGCTGGGACTAAAGTGAGATGGGGTAGGGAAGGGAGCCCTAATAAGAGCGACAAAGGCCCCAGGCTGGTCAGGAGCAGAACTAGGACTTGAACCCAGGTCTGCCTGACCCGGGTCTGCTCTGCACCCGGGAAGAGAAGCCTGAAGGCCCAGCTGCCCACTGCTGCCTGGGCACTGGCTTGCCAGCACTCCCCCAGGGTGTCAGCTTTCCCCGCCCGTCTGGTCAGGCTGCCCTGTGACAGCTGCCCAGCCTGGAGGAGATTAGTCACCCGGACACACCGCCTGATGCTAGTGTCACCCAGAAAACAAAAGGCCGCAGTCAGTAGGGGGAGGTGTTCCAGGCACTCTGCGAGTAGTGAGGAGGTCTGGGCCCTGCCTGCTGCCCCAGACCCACACTGACAAGAGGGGCCAGGAGGCAGAGGTTGCCTCACGACATGCTCCAGCCCACACACTTCCGGGCAGCCCCAAGTTCAACTGTCCGGGAGTCTCATCAGCTGCCTGGTGGTGCGGTCACTGCAAGCGAGGAGCAAGACAGGCGAGGCGAGCCAGGCCAGTGTTCTGTGACCACGTGCAAAGCCGTCCCCACACGGGCCTCAGTTTCCTTGTCTGTCTGAGGAGGCTACGAGACTGGCTGAACTGACATTTTATGACAAGTTGTCCTGCAAAGCACCCATGCCTCTATGTTCCCAAAGCCCCCTCCCTGCAGGGCCCATGCTTCCTGCTCCTGTGGTCTCCATAGAAACCTCTGTCCTCTGGTCAGCAGTAGCTTGACTCCTGACTTCCTATCTTTGCTGAGGTTTCTCCTGGTCCAGTCAGAAGCTCGGCCTGGCCTCAGGCCTGTCCCCGCCTTTCCCCACAGCTCAGCTCTGAGCGGCAGCGTCTTCTCACCTCATGCTCTGTCATCTTCTACATACCACACAGTACGTGTAAAGGTCACTGGAAGAAGCCCACAGCAGAGCAAAATGGCTGCCCCTCAGCCTTCTGGTGGGGAACCTGAGCGGAGCTTGTCACACCCAAAGGGGTGGGATGGGAAAGGACTCAAGGGCTCCATGAACCTCCAGCTGGCTGTTGAGAGCCCAGGGAGGACAAAGGATGCTACAGGAGAGACACTCATGGTGGTATCTGGCCTTGTGCCCTTGACGAATAGCAGCGAGTGTGGCTGTGGGCAGCTGCCAGGGGGTGAGCAGGCATGAGCATCCCAGCTTCACTGGCTACTGGCTAGAAAGAACCAGACTCCTGGCCTCTCAGCCCAGACCATCTCACACCTTGTGCTAGTTAGTTTCCAGTGGAGAAGCCCAAGGGCTTGGGAATCCTGCGTCTGCCATTGCTTTCCCGGGTGGATCAACTAAACTTTCTGATCCTCAATTTTCTCATCTGTAAAATGGGGATGATACCAACTAGTTCAGAAGGCTGGCATAAGGCAGATTCTGAAGAGATGATGGTATAAAGTACCTGACATACCTGGCAGAGTAGGGGCATGGCAGGGCCTACACCCACAGCAGACGCAACGCAGGGCATGCAGATCATGCCATCTCCCGGAGTTTGTCTCTGCCCATGGCGGGAGTGGGAACCCGGAAAGGGAAGCAGGAGAACCCAGGGTGGCCACCACCCACTGCATGAAGAACAGAGCCCGGCAGCCAGAGCCACCTGGGTAACTGCTCATGCTATAAGAAATGCCCTCTGCCCCTGGTACCAACCAGGCCTGGTTCCTAGAGGTGCTCACACAGGACACCCCATGGGATTCAGCCAGGGTTCCCACTCCCAGCTGTGAGCAGGGCTCCACATGCCCCTTTCCTCAGTGAAGGCTCAGAATGGTGCTCGGGAGCCCCACTTCCAAGTAGCTGCAGGGCAAGGACCTGGAGGCCGCCTCCAGGGGACTAGTGGTCAGAAGCCACCTCTGGCTGCTCTGCTCTCACAGCCCGGATGGTCAGAGGGAAGGAGGTGGAGACAGCTGGGGGCTGGTAAGGGAGGGTCTCAGCTCTCCCAAGGTCCTTACTTGCTAAGAGGAGCCCGCTCAAAACAAAACAAAACAAAACAAAACAAAACAAAACAAAACAAATGCGCAGCAGGGAGCAGGTGGGCCAGGGTTGCACGGTAAAGGAGGCCAGCAGGCCAGTAATGTTTACTTCACCAGGGTCTGGTGGCGGCAGGAGCCCAGCCTACCCTTTCCCTTCCCTTTCCTTTTCCATCAGCTTCAGAGTCTCATCCAGGAATGGTGGTGCCAGGGCCGACCCTGATCTGCTCCTCCCCAGACCCACCCAGACAGATACAGGAAGGAGGAAGCAGAAGGCAAGGGTTGGGGGCAGTCCCCTTTGACCTGATCTGGAAGGCAGGGTGGCAGGCAGGTGGTGGGTGAGCGGGTGGGGCCTGGGGTCCCTGTAGGCAGGCGAGTCCAGGCTCTGGCTCCAGCTCCAGGCTGCTGGCCTCTGGCTGAGCAAGTCCTAGTTTGGAGAGCAAGCCGCTGTGGCTGCTCCTCTGCCCCCTCCCCCTCGTCACCCTCCCCCCCTGTAGCCTGAGACAGCCGTTATGAAAATAACCCGATTGGTAACCAACTGCACTTCCTCTCCCAGCGGCCGCTCCAGGCCCTGCAGCAAGCAGGCGGCCTGTGGGCGGGCAGGCACACGCGCACCAGTCCTGCCTCCTGGCTTCTCTTCCCAAAGTCCCCAGAGCCAGGCTGAGCAATAGCCCAGTAGCCTCCTCTCCACCTGGCACTCGGTAGAGCACACACAGCGCCTGCCTTGACTCCTGGAGAAGATCTGGGAAGACAGAAGTGGGGGGGAGGGTAGGTTTCCTTTGGGCCACCTAATGTCCTCTCATACTCCCTGGACAGGTGTTCTGGGGTCTGGGGAGAGACAGCTAATCACTGGCTCCAGTCAAAGTAACCACAAAAACAAATATCTGTTGAGTCTTTGGCAACTTACAAAGCACTTTCTCACAGGCACTTTCAGGCAGAGGGTTTATAATTCTCCTGCATAGGCAGCATTACTGTCCCAGCTAAACCAACAGGGCACCTGAGGTTCCTGGAGGCCTGTGACTACCCGAGCTCAGAAGTGGCTGAGCTGGGACTCTCAATCCTGCATCTCCCAGCCCTGCTGAGGGGGCCTGTCAGAACCGCCCTGGCGTGTGTCCAGGAGAGGTCAG